GGGGGGTTATATCGCCCCGTCAGGTCATAAAAGCCTCTATTCAAGCCGATTTTGACATTAGCCTCCATGGATATCTATCAGCACTGGGCATTACCTTCGACTCTTTTTGAATAATTGCGGTATTGAACATTGTGTGGAGAGAATTTCTTTTAGTTTCCAGGTTCCATGTACCAGACGTTCCATATTGCCTGCTGGGGAGTTCCTTCAAGAAATCACGTGGAGAACGAACGTTTTCCTATTGCGGTTCACAAAGCATCTGAGTCTATATCCGTTGCTTACAGGTATGTTTTCATTAAAATTTAAGTTATTAACGATTAAGAGGGCAAGAAGTTGTTATGCCGTCTTTCTCTTATTAGACCCACAGACGATAAAATAACGTCGACAGCCAGCAAAAAGGGCGCCATGTTGTTCAAACATGTTGGACATCGCTTATTCTCCAGGGGTTCCAGCCAAGATTCTGGTTCTGTTATAGAACTTGTCTGTAACAGCTGTTATGCCGGTCTACCAGAAGTTTATCTTCTTCATGAGGGATGTGAAGTAATCGGCGAAGACCTCCAGGTAATTCCGATATCTATTTAATCATTATTACTTAATATGTTTAAGTAGCCTATTTGTTTCACTTGCATTTTAGTCCTCCCGCTTGATTAAGAACGCTGGCATACCAATGGTTTTACCACCGACTATGGCTAAACTAGGAGCCCCTATTCCAACGGAACTTCTGAAGATTTTGGGTGTTAAGAATCTTCCTCGAGCAGTTATCCCAACGCATATTCATCGTAGTCAACTTCTCCTTCCAATACCTCTTTCGACAAGCCTCAAAGAAGAGGTGTTTTCTAGACGTCACCGAAATCCTTTCGGTCAGATAATTAGTACTCATGAAAATTCGCCTATTCTCTCTTGGAAGACGTATCCTGCTAGTACGAAAAAGAGCGTCTGTTTCTTATCAGCAGTTTCACCTTCCCTTCCATCTTATTTCGTTCGAACATTGGAGAAACTTGGTCTTAGTACAGAATATCCCTTAAAAGCACTGACTGAGTAGAGAAGATTTGTAAATAAATTTATTTTTTTCACTCTTCTTTGTTGGTTTTTGAAGTTGTTCTCTCTCTTCCTCTCTCGTGGTTAAATAGTGACGTAGCATACAAACTTAAAATTCTACACTATTAAAATCATATTTAAACAACATCGTGTTTCTGAAGACTAGCTTTGGTGAGGCTGAGTTAGTGACTTTCTTCTTCCAATTACTACTTAGTCTACTACCTGGTGATGCTCCTGTAGAAATAAATGTATTTTATCAAATGGTAGGCTTTAGGCTAATCAGCATTCGCCCTTTAGTTGACTTCGGGCAAAACAGAGAGGAGAAGGAACAGAAGAGTGATTCACAGGTGTAAGAGAAACAGATGCAAAGGTAGAGAAAAAGGTAAGATGAGGTGAGTCCTGTGGAAGTGGTCGAATATGACAACCAAGGGGGTCGTGGTAGTTTGAAATCAGAACTCAACTATCGATTGATAGACTATTTTGCCGTATGAGTATACGTTTCCCAGGGTGCACCACGCGGAGCTAAGTCTATCACGCACCTCTCTCTACAAACACCAGATAAGTGATTAAATTCTTTTTCATTCAATTCAGCTGATACATCAGGTCGTTGAGACTCTTATTTTGGGGGAGATAAAAGCTGTTGGAACTCGGGTCCTGTCTTACCAAAAATTCACCTAAAACTACTTTGCTGTTTCTCTTTGCATCACTGAATTTCACTTGGCTTAGATCTAGAAAGAAGATAATGCTGCCACTTCAAGACACTGTTGATTTATCAGTGAGAATTAAAATTTCTAGATATCAGCACATTGGGGCCACCTTTGGGCTTTGAATTATCCATTCAAGGACAAAGTGTGACCTTGGATCGTGTTTGTTGGTGCCTTAGAGGCTATATGCCTAAAATTTTCGTGAGCCAATAAACCACTAACCCCAATGCCACTGTGCTAATCACACTTTGATTAGGCCAAACATGCAAAACATTCATAAGCCTACCAACTTGTCATTTTGAATTTTGCTTTTCCTTTAGAGCCCTTTGAAGTTGAATTGAAACAATTTTTGGTTTCTTTCAATTATGTTTTTTTTCTTAAGACATTAGGCAGTTTAAAGGCAATTTTCAATTGCTTTTTTCCCTTTGCGTGACTAATGGAGCGTCGAATGTCAGACTTTTGGCAATTTTGTCATTCGGTCAAGAAATAATTAAACTGACAAGAGTTATTAAATGTTTGACATCAATAGGCAGCGTGTTTTACAAAGAAATGATTTTGTTAAGTCATAAACGGAAAATGCGTGATTTGCAAATCAGTTATTTTTGCCAATGTTTTGAATTTAGCATTTATTAAATTCTAACTTTGACGCATTTATTTATATAAAATGGCAGGCTTTATGATAGCTATCATTAGCCCTTTAGTTGACTTCAGGCTTCACAGAGGGAGAGGAACATCAAATCGAAAAAAAGTCGAGAGAGGAGGGTGAACAGAAGAGTGTTTCAAAGATGTAAAAGAGACAGACACAAAGGTAAAAAAAAGGTGAGGTGAGCACTGTGAAAGAAGTGGACAATGACATACAGTGGGGTGATGGTAGTTTGAAGTGAGAAGTCAACTGTCGGTTTATAGACTTTTTTGGCGCATGAGTATACGTTGCCCAGGGTGCAGCACGTGGAGGTTAGTCTATCGCATACCCCAACTTTGACGCATTAGATGCTTCAAAAACAGGAAACATACGTCAATATATTTCAAGGTATGTTAAGGTATGGGGTATGCGATATACTTATCTCCACGTGGTGCACCCTGGGAAACGTATACTCATAGGACAAAAAGTCAATAAACCGGCAGTTGACTTCTCATTTCAAACTACCATGACCCCACTCTATTTCATATTCGACCTCTTCCACAGTACTCACCTCACCTTACTTTTTTCTTTACCTTTGTGGCTATCTGCCTATTTTACATCTGTAAATCACTCTTCTGTACCCCTTCTCGACTTTTTGTGACTTTGGCATTCCTTAACCCTGTCAAGCAATAATTCAGCTAAATGGCGCTAATGATAACTATCATATAGTCTGCCATTTGATATAAATGAATGAATAAATGCCCAACAGCATTTATCACACATTATTATTATTTCAAATGGCAGGCTTTGTGATATTTATCATTAGCCCTTAAACTTTGACTTCAGCTTCCCCCAAGGGTGGGGGGTACATTTATAGCAGTTAAT